CCGCCAGGCAAGGACCCCGCGCCGTACGACTACTTCCCCTTCTTCTACAGCCGCATCTTCGGTCTCTCCTGGGTATTCCACGGCCTGGCACCCCCAGGCTCCAAGGTCGTGCCCTTTGGACTTCCGGCCGCCCTCGAGGCCGCCCCCAAGGGCGAGGCCGCCAAGTTCGGCGCCTACTGGGTCGACGCCGAAGGCCGCGTGGCGGGCGTGTTCCTGGAGTCGGGGTCCAATGATGAGAACGCGGCGGCCAAGGCGGTCGCGAAGGCGCGGGTCGCGGCGCCGGGGGACCTGGGGGAGCAGGGGGCGGGGTTCCTGCTGGCTGCGGCTGCGAAGCTCTAGGGGGTTTTGTGGTTTTGGGGACCCCAAGAGGCTTTGATGCGCCCGCAGCCTGGCGCGTCTCGAACAGGCGCAGCAGGGGCGCGTGCGGCGCTCTGTCTGGGCATTGGCAGGCGGCCGTACGCGGTCCCGTCCGCGATGGCGTGGGTGTGTCGCCGTTCCTGATGGCCTGAAGCCGTGCGCCCCGATGCCGCCGTGGGTCATTCCTGCCGTAGTGTTGTTTGACCGAGTCAACGGTCTGACAGGGCGCGCACCCTGCCATCGCCCTTTTGCGAGATCCGCATCACATGCATGCAGTGATGGCCGGTTTTTGTGGGTTCAGGGGTTTGCAACTCCCGATTGATGCTGTAAACGAGTTCTGCCCACGTGTGACCACCAACCAGCATGCAGCAGGAGGAGATGCCCCCCAAAACAGTCACACGTCACAGCACCTTATGTTTGCCTTTGCGGACACGCAGCACCCGACCCATGACCTTGACAACGCCCTAACACCTTCGCCATGCACCCCGTCATGGGCGCATGCATCCTGAGCCCAGGCTGACGAGCCGGCCAGCTCCTCGCCCCTTCCACCCCAGATAGGGAAGAAAATGGTCGGGCTGGCCGACACCTCGCTGGGCCGCTGCAACACGCGCCGCCCCAAGTGCGCCAGAGCGGGGGGCGGCACTAGTTGCAGATCCACCTGGCGCTGCCCCGCGAGCAGCACCCACCCAGCAGTGTCAACCATGAAGCGAGGGGACAACCCGGACTGCAGGTCCTCCCTCGACCCCCACAACAGACAATCGTCGCCCAAAGCGCGAGGCGGCTCTGCGCAATGAGCGTCCACAGCAACCAGCCCCCTTTCCGTGGCCGCGCTCCCCCGACATATAATGAGCTTCCCACCAGCTTGGCGCGTCCCCGCCCCCCTTGTCACCCAGCGACGCATGCACCTCACGTCAACGTCACTGCACTTGCGATCCGCCGCCCACCCCTCCCGCCCCGCGATGCTACTGCGTTGTGTGCCGCTGCGCCTGCACTGTGCTCTGCAGAGCTGCTGCCGGCATTGGCTGCTGTGGTGCGCCTCAGCAGGGCTTCCCCCCAAACCTGTGGGTCTGAGCTCGTCAAAGCCTGATATTTTGTCTGAGCACGGCTCGAATCTACTTTACAAGCTTTCAAGAAGATCAAGAGGCAGTGTATGCATGCCAAACAAGCAACGGCGGGCGCTCGGGGCAGCCGCGCAACGCCTGGCTGCGGGCCCCGCTTGCTCAAGAGCCTGTGCGCGCGCCTCCGTCATGCAAGACAAGCGGTATCGCCCGCACCAAAGCAGGGCCCGGGCGTTGGAGGCGTCGGCGCCCCCCGCAGCGCACGCCTCGCTTGCGGCGCCTCAGAATCGCCGTCTGCGCGCCGCCGCAGGCCTAGCGCGCGTGCAGCCAATGGCCCGGGTCCACGGCGCAGGCGACGGGGCTCGTGCACCCATGCCACGAGCACGCCCTGCCAGGCAGCGGCGGACCCATGAAATTGGCAGGTTGGTGCCCCGGCGCTCACATGAAAGCAGCCGAATCGGGATGAAAGGAGAGCAATAACAGCAGCACCAAGAGGCATGGGGTATGGCCCGGCCAGACGGCAGGAATGTGCGCGCGCCCGGCCCGCTGCCAGCCCGCAACAGGCCGCGCCGGGCGGCGTGCGCGGGTTCGGCGCGCCGCGGCAGGCCGGGCCCTCCGCTGTGAGGGTCCCACGCCGCCTGGCGGGGCGGCGGCGGGGGGGCCGCAGCAGCCAGCGCGGCGCCCGTGGTCGGGGCGCGCGCCCAGGTCGTTCGCTCTCTCGCTAGATCCAGTCGTATAAGATGCTCTCTTCCACGTTTACGAATGCGTGCGATTTGGGGGTCACCGCGGGCCCGGCCCCGGCCCCCGGCCCGGCCCCGGCCCCGGTCCCGTGTCGGTGCAGGCGCGCGCTTGTGTGCGGCGCTGCGGGGCGTAGGCGAGTCGCGGCGCGGCGTTCGCCCCGGGCCCGCGCAAGTGGCAATGTCACAGGGTAGCAGGGCGAAAGCCAGTACGAAATATGGGGCGCGCTCCCGGCCCTGTTGTCCGCAGGACTGGGGGGTGGCGCCGGCACGGCTCGCTGAGCGCAGTGCGAATGGGTGTCAGCCAGCGGCTGCGGCGGCGGCAGGGGGCGCGCGCGCGCGGTCCCCGACCCACATAGCCTGGCAACAGTTTTTGTTTGTCGGGAGGCGCATTCAAAGGGAGCATGCAAGGCGCCCCCGCAGGCGCGTTGGGTTTGAGGGTTGGCCCTCAACACCGGGCTTTTGCGTGTCCGCGCCGCTTTGCGTCGCTGGCCCCCGCGAGCCAGCAGCCCGGCAGTCCCCGTCGGTCCCCCAGATCCCAGATCCCAAATCATCAGATCCCAGATCAGTGGTCCCCGCCGCGCGGCGCCACCTTGCCCTCCGCCTCCGCCGCCCGCCGCGCCGCCCGCTCCTCCGCGATCTTCGCGCTCAGCTGCCCCAGCTCCAGCCGCATCTTAGCATGATCAAAGTCCGCCCAGCAGGGGTGCTCGAACGAGATTCGCCTGTTCGCCTGCCACACGGCGCTGTTGCACTTGAACCCGCTACCAAACGACAGCTGCCAGACCTTGTCGCCGCGCTTCAGGCCGCGGAAGGTCTCCAGGTACGCCAGCACGTACCAGACGCTGCTGCTGCTCACGTTGCCCCACTTGTAGAGGGTAGCGCGGCTCGGCTCGGTCTGCTCGTCGTCGAGCCGCAGCGCCTTCTGCATGCCGTCGATGACCGCGCGGCCGCCGCTGTGGATGCAGACGTGCTCGAAGGCGGTCATGAAGTCCGGGACGTAGGGGGGGACGGCCTTGGGGCCGTGCAGCTTCCGCTTGATCATGTTGTGGACGAAGGCCAGCTTCTCGCTCAGGGGGAGCACCTGGTTTGGTGCAGTAGCGAGGGGGGGGGGGGGTGCGCAAAGGTTTGGTTTGGGCGGGGTTCGTGCAGCAGGGAAGGGCAGTGGTGGTGGTCGTTGTGTCGTGCGTGCTTGTACATGGGGCAGGGGGTGCCGTGTGCTCGCTGCAAGGCGCCTCGCAGCTGGCGCCGCGGCCCGCCGCTGCGGGTGTCGCGCGGGCGCGGGCGGTGACGTCAGCGGAGGGGCCGCGCACCTGGGGCCCGAGGCGGTTGAGGTTAGTCATCAGCGCCTCCGCGGCCACGGTGGTCAGGTCCTTTGACAGCCGCACGCCCACGTCGCCTGCGACACGATGAGCGAAAGGGCGGCGTCGGGCACTCCAAGGACTGCAAAAACCAGACAGTGGTGGCTAGGGCCGGTCGCCGCGGCCGCAGGCCTGGTGGCGGCGCGGCGCCTTGACAGTGCAGGGGCTTGCGTTCCGCGTGATGGGCTCTGCTCCTGGGCGCACCCAGGCCCCTGCCTCCCATGCTGCCGCTGCCGCGTTCGCGCGCTCTCCGCGTCCCTCAAGACCGCAGCTGTCCCTCTGCCCCCTCCCCTCGTCACAATTTTCAACCAAAACAAACGCAACAAACAGCAGGGGACCAACGCAGTCAAGAACAATCTAACGCGGTCGAACGCCGCCAAATGCGGTGCGGCGGCACTCTCAAGGGGGTTATCTAGGAACCATTCGCCTAGCAACAACTCGCGC